TTTTGGTCCTTACCAAATTTACATCCCATTTTCTTTTTGGTATGGAATGTGGTTACCTTTTTTTCTCCCTCTTTCAAACCAATTCCGTCCACAAGCTTTTCACTTTTAAACAATTTTCTTAAACTTAGTATCCGGTCAAAGTGGACTTTTGATTTGGGCCGGAGAAAGGATTTCATAAGACGAAACTGTTGCCTTTAGGATTGGTTGATGTGTCATTTAGCTAATTAGATGTCTTTAAATATATATATATATATATATATATATATATATATATATATATATATATATATATCTGTGTGTGTGTGTGTACTCCCTCCGTCCAAAAAAGAACTTCCCACTTTCCTTTTTCGTCCGTCCACAAAAAAACTTCCCATTTCTATTATAGGAAGGTTGTTGAGAATGAAAAGTCATTTCTACCCTTATCCTCTCCTTCCTCTCCCTTTCTTCCAACCATTTCTTTTTTTCTTCCTTTTCTCCTTTTTCATTCTTTTTCTTATTCCTTCTTCTTCTTTCTTTCTTCCTTCTTCCGTCCTTCTTCTTCTTTCTTTCTTCCTTCTTCCGTCATTTCTTCTTCTTCTTCTTCATTTTTTTCTGTTTTTTCTTCCTTCTTTCGTCAACTAAAAGAAGTTTTTTTCCATATCTGGTTGCATCTTCGCCAGATCTAGATTTGCAGTCACAAATTTTTTTAATTTTTTCAAGATCTGAGGTGGGATGTTGATTTTCTTCCTCAAGATGTCTGGAAATAGATCTAGGGACTGCGACGGCGAGAGGATGTCAGGGGCTACGATGGCAGGGCCTTCGACGGCGTCACAGCGAGAGGATGCCAGGGGCTGCGACGGCGGGGCTTTCGATGGTGGGGGTTGTGGAAGCATCATTGGCAGTGGTACAGAAGCGGCGGCGGTGGCGATGCAGAAGGGTCAGCGTCGGCCAGTGTCGGCCGTGGTAGATGGTGCGTTCCCAGTGGGGGTGTATAGGGTAGAAAGGACAAGGGGTATAATGGGAAAGTCAACACAATTTTCAGCACACATAAAATTGTGTGTCCGGTCAAACCAGGAAGTTCTTTTTTGGACGGAGGGAGTATATATATATATATATATATATATATATATATATATATAAAATATAGATTTTGGTTCTGGTGAGAATTGGATCTTATATATATGTATGTATGTATATATATATATATATAAATATAATAAACAAATTTCACATAGTATAAGTATAGATATGGACCTAGGGTCTGGACATCATTTGGATCTATTTTATCATATTAACAATTGGAATAATAATATTTTTATTACTACTCATCCATTTCTAGATTTTTACTTTATCCGTTGCACTCGAATATCATAGCCCTTGGGCAAACAATATTTTCTCAATAAATAGTTAATTAAATCTTTCGAGATTAATTAACTAAATAAGGCAAGAGCAATTGACTAACCATTTCAACATTAATTTAACATTCAAAAATATATAACCAAACTAGTCCGGACCCAGAGATCCGGACCTTAACTCATACCATGTAAACATGAATTAAAATAGCATTTTATTAAATAAAAGAAACTTACAACTTCCGTACAAGTAGATTTGAACAGACCGGGAGTAGAATTTCTCCAAAATTAATTCTAAAACTACTATAATAGTAAACTAAAGCTTGGAATTGAAATAAGAAGCTCAATTCCCGAGAATGGGAGTGAAAGTGATGGGTTGAATGGGGAGAATCGCACTGTATTTATAGGACAGAGGCCGAGGTGTCCAAGTCGAAGTGTCCAAGTCCAGGCGTCCAGATCGGGACGCTTGAGCTGCTCCGGCCAACCAGATTTTGCCACGTGTCTTTCTTGGATTGCAATCAAGCCAAGGCGTCCAACTCCAAGCGTCCAACTTGGCCAAGCGTCCAAGTTGGACGCCTTAGGCCCTAGTCTGTTTGGGCTTCGTGGCTGATGTGAGATCTTTGCCCAATTTTGATGCTTTTCGGCCCGAACGTTGATTTTATCCTCCCGAAAGCTCGTTCAAGCCCGAATTTTGATCCTTTGATAATTTATTCCCTTTTTCTCCAGTACTTGAACATAAAATGGATGATTTATGATGATTTTATGTGGAATCCCTTTTTATGACTCTTAGAGCGAAACTGAGAGTTTTATTGATTAAAAACACATTTTATGAGATGATTAAATACTATTTACGTGCAATAACGTTTAGAATATAATGTAAATGATAAGAACAAAACGGACTTATCAAATTCCTCACACTTAAACGTTGCTTGCCCTCAAGCAACAGATTGAATAATTACAAGTATAAAGGCAAATTAATAATTGCAGAGGGAAAGTTTAAGCTAGATATTATGAAGGAAAGAAGGAATAAGATAGTCATCAATCTTTTTGTTAAGAAGAAATGAATCTTTAGATTCTCACCCATATTGTCAGAAATGTAAAAGAATTTTGTCAACCAATATTTTTACACCAACCTAAACAACCAAAATTTTCCAAACTTTCCTTGGGATAACTACAGTTATAAGAGTTCTTTAAAAATCAAATAATTTTTAATGGCTAAATTGGAAAACATGTTCTAGCAAAAGTATTAGTCAAAGTATATAAGGGTTTAATTTTCCTTGGCATAATTTTGTCATGTTGACACAAAAAAATTTATAACCTCATCCCGTGACATAGAACCACGAGCTTTTTGGATATTCACTCTGGAAAGTCTCATCACACGACATAGAACCGCATGCTTTTTTACTCTAACACTCAAAAGGCCTCATCACGCAATATAGAACTACGTACTTTTTGGCATACTCACTATGCCTCATCAGTTGACCTAGAACCAACTGTTTTTTTGGCTAAAACAAGAATCTCGGTCTCACCAAAGTATGCTTTGAAACATCACCCCTTATACTTTGAAAATAACTCTTTTTAAGAAACATCAAATACTCATAGCTCGAAAGATAAATGAGTATTTGCAAGAAGATTTTCAATAAAGCAACTTAAAATTGATTGATCTTAAAAACTCTTAGTAAATTGTGAATTTATCCCAAATCATTTTAGAAAATGTTCCCAAAAATTAGAGTAAAAATAGAATTTTGACAAAAAATTTTAAAAATTTCCAATTTTACGGGTGATAACTAAAGTTCTAATTAATCAAACAATTAAAATTAATGACTATTCTATAAGAATCCTTTCCTACAAATATCTAGACAAAACGATTCCTAAAAGATCATTTTAACCAAGAACTCTTGCCTCCTCACACTTAAACGGAACCACGCCCTCGTGGTTAAGATTGTTTTTGAATCGGAGTTAATGGTTGAAATGTTCTCATGCAATTACTAAGTTATCTCCATTCTTACAAGATTCAAAGATGAAGATTGAAATAATAGATGACCATAACATGTAAATATGAAATAATTCATAAAATATTCCCCAAAGGTTTTTAAGTCATAAAAAGAATAGAATTCCAAAATAAGATCATATGAATATCCAAAATAATGTTCTGAATGTAATAATAGGAAAATTAGGGATCTCACTATCCCTGATGTTTGCCTTGCTTAGGACCCGCCTCATGCTCTGTTTTCCTTGCTCCTTGCTCCCGGATGTAGTCAAGTATTTCCTCCACCTGCCACTGCTGCGTGAGAAGGAGTGTCTCCATGCTCCTCAAGCGAGAGTCCACATAATCCTGGAATGCAAACATAGCCTGTGAAAGCTCGCGAAGGGTCATAGGAATAGTATGCTGCCGTCTAGGACGTGCCTCCTTGTCTTCCTTATTGTAAGCAATCTGGGCCAAATACCCTGTCGGTGGTCGGAACATGCTTGCAGCTTCTGGGAGAACATCGGGAACTGACATACGTAATCCCCGAGCCAGAAGCGTAACCATTGGCCCACACAAAACAAACTGGCGGTTGCAAGTAGACTGAGCAAATAGGAATCGAGCCACAAAGGTTGCTAAATTGACGGGTACGCGTGCTTCCAGACTCCAGAAAAATAGCATATCAGAATCAAACACCACGTCAGGTTCTTGAGAGCGACCAAAATAGTTGTGAGCTAATGCATGGTGCAAAATTCTCCAAGACGGACGTGCCCAATTTCTAGCTAAGCTTGCTCCAGTGTGAAAATGTCCATGCCCGTGAGCTTGCCAGAAATTCTTAACATCGAATTTCGGATCCAACTGGTTGGGCAGATCAGCAAAGGCCAGGCTCCGCGTTTCATCGAGCGTGTAGAGACCAATCAACCACCCTAAGTCTGCCACGGTAAGGTTCAACAGTCAGAGTGAACGTGACCTTTGTGGTGGAGGTGACTTCGGCTGCCGACTTTGCCTCTTCTCCGTCATTGAGGAAGCGGAGGGAGCAAAGAAACTCGATGGTGGCTTCCAGGCTGGCTGGTGCATATAAGAACAGCATGATCCTCCATTTTGGGTCGTACAACAACTCATCAATGTCTGTGAGTTGTTCATGGGAGGCTGGAGCATCTTCGTGTTTCCCCAAGTGAGAAACTTCTTTTTCGCTTCCTCTGAGTGCAAGGGAAGCTCCTCCATGTTCTGCAAGGTGCGGCGGTTTCCATGCGGAATCATCTAAGCAACATCCATCTGTAGAATAGAAAAGTAAAACGAGTAAAATCTTGCCCCCAACTGGTGCGGCAAGTAAATAACAAATAAGCATATTTAATAATTTAATTATCTGAATGACGGGTTGCCTCCCGTTTAAGCGCTTCTTTAATGTCCGTAGCTTGACATGTATATGTATATGTATATGTGTATGTATGTATGTATGTATATGACATGTTGTGTGTTGTTTTATCATCTCAGGGGGGTGCTTCTCACTGATTAGGGCAGATTATGTAATCCAGGTGAGACAGAAAATACTTTAGCTCCCACAATTGGTTGAGTGAAAGTAAAAGGGGTAGAAAGATAAACTTGAGATGGATTTATTATTTTTGTCACAAATGGTTAAGTGCAAGCTTGTCATTTCATTCTATTAATCTATTTCCCTCTTTTGTTGTTTATGTCTATAACAGAATATTACCGATCAAGCGTTGCTTCTAATTGCAGACAACTATCAAGAAATCGATTCACTGAACATTACTAGGTAATGCTATAAGATGCATGCTGATTCCTAAGATTTTTTTCTTTTTAAACAACTGTGTAACAATATTTCATGAAGGCTTGGAATCCAGATGTTAAGTTTGATAAGGATTCCCTTAAATCTCTTCATGTATGGATTCAATGTCCAACCTTATAAGCTAAGTACTATTGGGATTCCCGTCTGAGAAAGATTGGTATGCTTATCAGAATGGACAAGGTTACAAATGAGAAAACCATGCTAGCTTTTGCACGTATTCTCATAGATGTTGAACTGGATATGCTCCTAGATGTGATAGAACTTGTGAATGTAAAAAGGTAGATTGATAAAACAATGTATATGATACAAACGAAAGCCCTCACAGTGCAGTTTTCCAACATGCTAGGGCAACATGAGAGTAAATGTAGACAGAAATTGGGGATAAAGGTGGGAATGCCTAAAATAACTATACCAGTTACTGAAGACCATTAGGAAATTAAGACTCACCCTAAAACAAATTTGGTCTTAAAAAACATGTTTAATACTCCCTCCGTCTCACTCTCTTTGTCCAGTTTTGACTTTTGGAACTGTTCATCTAAGCATTTTGACTCATCAAATTCTCTCAATGTGTAAGCCTAAATATAGTCATGTGTGATCTTGTTTGATTTGTCTTAGCATATAGATTATTAATATATAATTTCTATAATTTTTTAATATACAAATTACAAGATAAAATGGATTAAAGAAGTGTATTGGATGATGTGTAAAAATGAGAGTGGACAAATACTCTGGGACGGAGGTAGTATGTGGAATAAAGTCCTCTTAGCTAAACACATTTGGTCTATTAGGATGGATAAGGAGAACCTTTGGGTGAAATTGGTGCATATATACCACTTAAGAACTAGGATTTCTGGGATTCTCAACCTAAGCTAGAGTCGTGTTGGTACTGGAAGAAGTTTTGCCATATTAGGGTGGATGTGAAGGACCCTTTTGCTAATCAGAGTTCCTTTCTTTTCAAGAAGGCTTACAACTTAGCCCAACTCCTGCTGGTCTTGCAAAGATGGGCTCAACTTCCCGATCATGCTGTCAGCTATTGGTTAACATTGCTGAACAAACTATCAGTAAATGATAAGAATTTCAAAGTTTATCTCGTTGGATAATTTTCAATTTGAGTTCTGCCAATGTCATAGAGGAACAACTAAACACTTATCTTTGTTTGCCCGCTCTACCTGTTTGGAAGGAAATTTTGTATCTGGCTCAGACTCTCAAGCTGTCCTACCAGCATGGAGCAATGGCATAAAAGTCGACTGCATGCCGGAGTTTACAAAGCAATCCACAAATATAGTGCAGCTGCTGTATATTATTGCATATGCAGGGAAATGAATAGTAGCTTATTTCACAAGATCAGCACTGATCCTCAGGGTTTGGCTAAAGCCATCATTGACACTGTCAAAACCAGATATAACCTAGTGTGTTGATGTAATTATATTTTTCTGCCTTTTGGGTGCTCTTGATTAATAGAATGAATCATTGCCTCCGTCAAAAAAATATTTCATGATCACTGCCTCTCTCTCTCTCTCTCTCTCTCTCTATCTCTCTAACACTTGTCTAATGTATGGCATTTACTGTACGAAGTAGAATTTTCTATGCATAGATAAAGCATACAGCAAGATAAGTTTTTTCCCTTACTACAGAAGTAGAGAATCTAAAATATAGTTCATTTTATGTCCACTACGATTGTGGGTACTACTGTTGCTTACTTGCATCTGCTGCTGCTGCTACTAGTACGGTGTCAAAACCAGTTAAATATTCTAATGCGATGATGATGAGGTGCTCGTGATGAAGTTAGCTAAAACTACTTTTGTGGAAATAAATTGCATTAAAACCTATTATACATAATGTTTTTGCAATCTTTTCATGTATTTAGGTGCATCAAGCTAACGCATAGTGGCTTGGAAAGAATGTTGCTGAAGTGTTCTTTCCTTCAACGTCTGAACCTTTATGCCCTTTCTACGTAAGATGTGTGTGTGTGTGTATTCCTGGTTTGATGTTGTCTATGCATGTAAATTACTTTGTATGATGTTTGTCTAGTAAAATGTCAAAACATATTCATGCATAGATTTACTGATGAAGCTTACAAGAAGATATCACTTCTGCCTCATCTGAAATTCCTGGACCTCTGTGGTGCCCAGGTGTGATTTTATATTTCTTATCTTTTTTTTTTGTTTTTGTTTTTGTATTCATTTGAAATCTTGATTAGGTAGATTCTGTCACCAGTGTGGTCAAATGGGTTATCTGTACTTTTCTATTGACTAAAGGTGTGCATCAGAATCTAACAGATGATGGGCTTTCTTGCATTGCGAACTGTAGAAGGCTCCTGTCTCTCAATTTGACATGGTGTGTGAACAACGGGGATACCCTACAATTTCACCTCAAATAAAGGAAACCTTAGAAACATTTCCGCGTTTTATTTTAACTACTTGAATAAGTTGATATCTTTTGTGTGGCTGCAGGTGTGTAAGAGTTACTGATCTTGGGATCAAAGCAATTGCCCGAGGCTGCATGTCCCTTGAGTTTCTAAGGTGATCCTTAAAAAAAGCTACTCAAATTGAGATTCTTCTGAGCTGTGTGCACATAATTTGCATATATTAACTTAAAGTTCCCCAATTTCTGCAAGTTTGTTTGGGATTGTTGGGGTGACTGACAAGTCCCTGGAGGCACTGTCAAGCTTCTGCTCAAGCACACTAACAACTCTGGATGTGAATGGCTGTATTGGCATTAAGGTAGAAACAGAAAAAAAACCACAAATTAGATTTTAGAATGAGAGTTATTCTCCCTTCTACTCATACGGCTCTTTGCTTGCATGTTTTAGAATCGCCGCCGGAATCAACTGCTTGAAATGTTCCCTAACCTGAAGTGCTTCAAAGTGCATAGCTAATCTTTGATTATTTGAGAGAGAACACGGGTTTTCCAAAAAGCGCCGGTTTTACAAGACCATTCCTTGTGAAAACATCCTCAGATTATCAGATTTCAAGAATTTAAAATGCTGCCAGCTCTGACGCATGCCTATTCGGTTTTGCTCCGTAGACTTCCAAAGCTAGACAGCACAGCGTTTCTATGGATTTATAATTTATTTAAGTTTTGCCCGCAAATTATAACGCTAATCTGGCGGTATTGTGTTTCTTTGTTGCTCATTTTCCTCCAAAGGATGTTCGCTGTCCTTCTCTCGGTGGGCTCGTACTCATTCTTTTGTGTTCTGCTAATTTTTCTATAAAAGTTATTGTTAAATCCACAGCCAAAATGGCTAAATCCATAACTTGCATCTACATTTACTAACTCCACTCCCATTAATATAAATTTAATATTGGCAATTAATATAAATTTAATATCGGTGTGGATTTAGCACATTTAAGTTAAAGCTGTGGGTAGTCATTTTAAGACTTGATTTAACAACACCCTTCTATAAGAGCATTGGCAATAAAAAATAGTCTAGTAAGAGTGCAACAAGTGAGTGAAGTGGTAAACTCTACACCAAGTCATTTTTTTAACTTTTTACATTTTTAAATCTTTTTTAATTATTAAAAGATATTTTACCTTACTTTTTTTTCAACAAAAAATTACTTCTACTTCTTTAAAAAGAAATCTTCTATTTTATGAAAATGACTAATAAAATAAAAAAATTGAAAAAAGAAAAGAAAAGGAGAAGATTAAAGGGAGCAAATTTGCCAATGTTCTAAATTCTCCCTAAGACCATACGTAGTGGCGTGTGTTATTGCGCATCCATGTCGCTTCATGTCTATGTAATTATGTTGTCTTCTAAGACGTGAGATTTGTTAAAATTGCATCAACGTTTATTCAAATAACGAGCTCAGGCATTTCGTGGCTTGCATCGAAGACATGGGGTCACCGGCCTGGGTCAAAATCAAAGATTCGATGACCATAGATGGGGTGATCAAAGATAAAGTCAGAATTGAACCACTAACATTTTTTTTTGTTCTAAAGGTCTCCACTCACATGTTTTCCACATGGTGAAAAATACCTTTATGGGGCCTGAACCACTACGTATGGTCTAATAGGTTGTACATGCAATTAGATGGATCGAATAATGGTTCTCCCTAGGGTCATTAGGGTTTGGAAATCCTAATGCGCCATTACATGGACCGAATAATGGTTCTCCCTAACCCTTAAGTTGGGCTTGGTGTTTGTCCATCGCTCTGGTTGGTACGCTCCTCGGGCTCGGGATAAACTACTCTGGCCAAGGTGCAACTCTGGTTGGGGCATACCGCTCGGGCTCGGGACATGATACTCTGATTGGGATATACCACTCGGGCTTGGGATATGATGCTCTGGTCAAGACATACCCCTCTAGCCAAGGTGCCACTCTGGCCGGGACATACCATTCATCGGGATACATCACTCGGGATCAGGCCCATGGCACTCTGGTTAGGGTACCACCCTCGTCGGGATATGGTATCCGGGGCTCATGACATGGTACTCTGGCCAGACTTAGCCATTTATCCATGCGATTGCTCGTACTCTCACTTGGTCCTTACGCGCAAGATCTGCAAACACGTCTGATTTGTGCTTGGACATTAACCTAACACAAGCCCCCTAGTTTCGTAGTCCTGTAGTGTAGCAGAGTGGATGTCGAAACTTAGAAGTCGATTTATCACCCCTCATGCTCCTTATTCATTGTTATTTGCCCGTGACTCTCTAGCGGGTGTGGATAGGCATCCTTGTTCAAGCAATATAAGTTTCTCCTGATCGAAGATTGACCTAAATTCTTGACAAGGTATTCAACGTTCCTGTGCATGGGTCCTTTGCAAGGGCGGCGGTCTCCTCCGGCTTAGAGTTTTAATAAACCTTCTTGGCAGGAGCAAGAGCCCTTCCCAGGCTTAGACTCCTGCGAGCCCCTATTTGTATTCAAGTCTCATCGTCGAGGTGGGGCACCATTCCTTGCCTTTGAGTGATCAGCTCAGTGGGATTTAATATACTCGTCATCATGAAGTCTGTGCCATGGTAAGCACTTCAAGCATAATCGGCATCAAGAAACTCACTCTATGACAAACACTTCGAGCATAATCAGCATCAAGAAACCCATGCTATGGCAAGCTTTTCGGGCATAATCAGCATCAAGAAAACCCATGCTATGACAAGCACTTTAGGCGTGATTCAGCATCAAGAAAACCTGTGCTAGTAGAGCAGGGGTATGTATGTATGTATCATAGTTTTAAAAACCGGACCGGACCGGCCGGTTCGGACCGTGAACCGGCGAACCGGTAGTCCAACCGGTCCAGTCCGGCACGTTGGACCGCAACTTGCTTCGAACCGCTCCAACCCGTTGTGAACCGGTAAAAACCGGCCGGTTCGACCAACCCGTCCAATTTTTTTTTTTTTTTTTTTTTTTGCGATTTCTTGGCCCAAAAAACACACCTCCACACGGATTCGAACCGAAGACCTCTTGGTTCCAAAGTCGAGTCTCTAACCATCTAAGCTAGAGTGCCTTTGTGTTACAAGTTCACTTTAATAATTTTTAATATTAGATTATTATATTTCTTTTCATTTTAAAACTTTAAATAGTATAATATTATAGCTATGATTCAAACTCAAAATCATTGATATAATTGATACTATCACAAATATTATGTAAAGATTTCATTTCGGTGTTTTTAATATAAGATAATTTATTTCAAAAAAAATAAAATCAACTCTTTGTTTATAAAATATTTAATATTGTTTTTTAAATATGTAAATTTTATTGTTAAACTTAGTGACATAACTTAAGTAAATTAATATAAATTTGGTCAAATGTTATAAATTATTTACTCTAAGTATTTATAAATAAGAGAGAGAGAGAGAGAGAGTGTGTATATATATATATATATATATATATATTAAATTTAAAAAAATGTTTAAATCACCGGTTCGACCAGTTGAACCACTGGTTCGACCAGTAAACCAGTGAACCAGTACCGGGACCGGTTCGGTCACCGGTCCGGTCTTGAAAACTATGCGTATGTATGATGAATAAATGAATGCGTGAACGTATGTATGAACGAATGTATGCACAGAGGGAAGAGAAGGGGATATGCATGTTGGCCATATTAACCTGATCCTTGAGGCCAATGATGAAATGGGATGACGGTCTCGAGTCTACCCTCACCTTCCCAGGACATCCGAATTGGCTTGCCCGATCAAGATCCATGGGTTCGTACCCTTGGACCGTATCCTGCATCCTTGAGTTGACGTCCGGATTGTTAAGTCGACTTATGAGTCAGACTTAAGGCCCTTGATTGGATGGTCAACCTGCCTTTGTTGGCGGACAATGTGACTGGACTTGGTTCGGGGCGTGCCTCCCCAAAAGGGGTGCCAGATCGGTTTGTCCACTCAGGATCTACGGGGCTTTTTCCCCTTGACCTCCTCCTGCGTCCTAGAGTTGATGTCCCTAGGGACCCGGGATATACCGCTCGGGCTTGGGATATGATGCTCTGATCGGGAAATACCCCTCTGGCCAAGGTGCCACTCTGGTTGGGACATACCACTCGGGCTCGGGGCATACCACTCTAGCCAAGGTGCCACTCTGGTCGGGATATACCACTTAGGCTCGAGGTATACCACTCTGGCCAAGGTGCCATTGTGGTTGGGACATACCACTCGGGCTCGAGGTATTAGACTTTGGACAAGGTGCCACTTTGGTCGGGGTATACCACTCATGCTCGGGGTACATCACTCTGATCATGACATGGCACTCTGGCCGAACTTAGCCACCATCGAAGTATTTTGTTACAAGTGGGTGGCCATCGAGTGAATGGTGGCCCTCTGTGACTAGGGGAATTAGCTTGGATATCCCCTCCTAGCATGGTGCGGGGGGCACCACCACACCTATCTACCTTATGAGTATTGAGTAGAGGCCTTACACATAGTAATCCCTCATTGTCGACATAAGTTGTCTGGTCTTTGGTGTTGTTGCAGCGGCGACTGGTTGAGTTGTGTCCGACTTGAGTTCCACTACGACAGTGAGGCCATTTAGTCATGTCAAGTCGCGTCGCGTCACATCAAAGTCACCTCATGAGTCTTTCACAAGTCAATTCACCTTTATTATACAGTAACTACTTCTTGGTTGTGGAGCTCAACTACACAGGTTGAATTGTTTGCATGTGGTTAAACAGAGCGCGGTGGCTCACGAAATAATTCGATCGTTCCTGTGGATCACCAGCCTTAAGTTCTCAAAGGAGCTGGATTTCTAATTGACGATTGGGCTACCACCTTAGTACGAGTTCTACCACGAGAAAGAGTCGTACCAGCAACAGCATCACACGAGAACTTACTAGAAAGAATGATGATTGGTCGGTCAGATGTCGTCAATCATGAGTGGGAAACCTCTTGATCTGAAGGGTTTTAGTTGGGATCTCGCTAGTTGCATCTATGGAGATGTTGATCTTGTGCGAGCTTGTACCTGCCCCTCGCTGGAGAAACAAAGGGATGGTGGCGATGGCAGACATTCCTCGCCGATGGCTCCTTCCAATCCAAATAGCGATTGGCCCTTACATTGTTGACTTAAATTCGGCACTCGTATTAGTGTCCGAGATGCATTGCTGCTAGGAACTATGATGGTTCTCCCAATCCCAGATTTGGGAGCTAACCAGCTCTACTTCTTTTTGGAGGATCCGATGCGGGGCACCATCGCCGGAGTGCAAAAGAGTAGATGGGGCTGGGGATTGAGTTTCCCTGTTGCCAGCGAAACAATTGGGTGCCGTGCCTGACTTCCTTACTCCGCCCCAAGGGATGGCGGCTCCGTCCTTGCCCTAAGTTCAAAGATATGGGGATGAACATGAACCAAAATTCGAGCAAAAATAGCTTTTAGATCGGTCCCACAGATGGCGCCTATGTTGGAGTTAATTGCTTCAAGTTTCTAGAGACCCAACACTATGTCTAGACCCAAAATATCATTAATTTGTAAGTGGGTTTTTGAAAGAATATGAATAAGGATTTTTATGTGGAACCCAAATCCGGGAGAAAACTACGAGCCCTTTTTGATAAACCCAAGCCAAAATCTTCTTTATTCATGTACTGTTTGGTGTTACAAAGAGGCTATAAGCCATGAGAGAAAGCTCATCAACCATTCTCTTTCTAGATTACAAGTGGGGAAGAAGAGGGAAAAAAGCTCCCTAAACAATACATTGTCCCTTTTATGTATACTAGGGCCATTAGGGTTTGGAAACCCTAATGCGCCATTATATGGACCAAATAATAGATCTCCCTAACTGTTAAGTCGGGCTTGGTGTCTGTCCATTGCTTGCTCTGGTTTGGTACGCTCCTCGGGCTTGAGATATACCACTCTGGCCAAGGTGCCACTATGGTCAGGACATATTTTCAGGCTCAGGGCATGATACTCTGATCGGGACATACCACTCGAGTTGGGATATATCACTTAGGCTCAGAATATGATGCTCCGGTCAAGACATACCCCTCTGGCCAAGGTGCCACTCTGGTCGGGACATACCATTCATTGAGATACATCACTCAGCCTCAGGCCCATGGCACTCTGGTCGGGGTACCTCCCTGGCAAGGATATGGTACCCAGGCTCGGGGAATGGTACTCTAGCCAGACTAAGCCATTTATCCATGCAGCTACTCGTACTCTCACTTGGTCCTTAAAGGCAAGATATCTACAATGTTATGGGCCTATCAAATGGGCCTGATTTGTGCTTAGACATTATCCCAACAAAAGTAATTAAAGAATTCAATTATAAAAACAATTGCCAATTTTTGAAAAATAATTACGTATATTAAATTTAATTCAATAAAAATTAAGTGGAAACTTACACTAATTACATTTGCGTTTACTCAATCATACACATAATTTGTAAAAATTTAAAATAATTAAGAAATTAGAGCCCTAGATACGAATTTGATTAATAATCAAACTTTACCTTTTTAATAGATTTTGATTTAACCTATATGCATTGAAATTTCTTCTTTTATCTACTTGAGGACGAAGTCACGTGGAAAAAGTGTTGGTATCATCTCTATCCAAGCTCCACACGACCTCATGAATCCCTGCGAACCCTAGATTCCTGACTTTTGTTTGTTTTTATTTTTTCTCATTCCTTTCTAATCCCTTGATCCAAACATGTGCTAAGGAAAAAAGGCAGATGAAAATCTAGCACAACACCCGAGAGATATTGAACAGAGATTGAATATACTCCCACTGTTTTTTAATAGTTTTGACAGGACATTAAAGACATCAAAATAATTTTTTCTATGGGACATGGTATAGAATGCCATAATACAAATAATTTGACCTTTAATTATTCCTTACTACTTGTTCCTGCGCTCTTTTTTATCTTTTTTTTTTCTCCGGGAAAACCAATTCCTGCAATGCCAAAGAAAACTGGTACATAAGCCATTTTATCAAAAACGCGAGTTTAAATAATTGGTAAGCTCAGTGCACAATGCTCCAACTAGGTAGGGTAGATGTACGGTGCGTAATCCCTACTTACATAGAGGTTGTTTCCAGGATTAGAACTTATGACCTCATGGTAAATAAACATTTATGGGTAAATTTTATAATTGGTTCTTTAACATAAGACTTTACATATTTAGTCCTTTCATGAGTAATTTTCCACGGATAGTCTTTTTCTTATCTTCCGTCATATTGGTGTTATTTTGAGGGCTAAAAGTATAACATCACATTGACCATATATTCGGTAATGTGATGTCGGCTTGACGATCAACACAACAACAATGTCTATGTTTGTGGACTAACATTCCAACAAGAGACGTATGTAGACTATAATTGTGGTATACAGAGACTTCAGTTGACAAACAACGCATCAACAACGATCTTTGGCATTGGGTATGACAAGAAAGATATGTGATCATTGTGAAAATTATACTTTTAGCTATCAAGTTAACACTAACATGACAACGTAAATATTTATTCAATATTTATCATAAACATTAAGAAATCACCAACCTAGTGAGTGTTTGGTTCGAGACTTGCATCGAAACTCAGCTAAGAGTGCTATATGATCTGATGACCACTCTGGAGAAGGAAGTGCTGTGTCTTTTCTCAAGCTATTCTCGTCCAACAGCTCCAATAAGGATTCTATTGTTAGAGAGTCCGCTGAGGTGAACAAATCAATTGAATATGATAACAGTCACACCAAGAAAATTTAGCATCACCCATAAAAACAATGCAAATCATTAAATATAGACAAAATTGTCAAAAAGACAGAAATTTGGTGTCAACTATCTCCAAAGCTGAATCAGAAAGAGAACAAAATTGATTGAGTATTGGTCCAAACACCATACCTGAGTAGAATATGTAGTCATGGGTACCAATAAAGTCCCTAGTGTAATTTGTGAATAGGGGTTCATTGGTGGTGGGATCAATTCGTCTTTTCTGTTGCTCAAACCCAAGGCCTACCCCAAGTCTACCAATGGCAGAGTAAGCGCTTACCTGCATTGAAGTATTCCATACAAGCGAATATTTATTTAAGCACCACTCTAACCATTTAATCATGGTGTCCTCCAGTGTTTAATAAGGCAAGGTGTAATCTCACATCTTTTCAGAAAATTGAGAACCAAGATGTTTTGTGCTTTGCGCCACTGATGAAGGAACACTTTCTCCAAGGCATTAGCCTCAAGGCTTAGCCTTTGTGGCATATCCGAGGCATAAGCCTCAGTATTTCAGAGATTTCTTCAAATTAAGCGGTATTTTTGTCGAATCATCTACTAGATATTGAGTACTTAGGGATTGATCAAGTCTCTTTCCAGTGGTAATTCCGATTCTTTTTTATATGATTCCGTTTGGTTCTTCAGGGTTAAACTTCGTACTGAATTTTTTAACTCACCCAGTCAACCTTCATTATTTGTTTCCATCGTTAGCTTTCCTCTCTTTTAGTATAAAATTCCGTTGTTTCTTACATAGTTTTTTCAGTAGGCAATTCAATGTTGGACCAGGCATGGAAATATGGGGTATATATAAAATATGTGAAGTGTAACTTTTGCAATAAAGACACCAAAGGAGGGCACACAAGAAAAAATCTGGCACCATGTCCAAAGCCGAAAGGTCCCCGAAGATGTTAAACAAGAGATGTTAGCTCTTCTAACATGACTATAAACTTCCTTAAAGTTCAATGGATTATTTATCATATGAATTTTAGTAATATTTTTTCTTTATAATATTTGGCAAAATGCAAAATACTTCACATGTTTTGGATCTTAAAGCCTGAAGCTTATGCCTCAATACGCTTTAATGCCTACACCTTAAGCCTTGAAGGGAAACCGCCTCATTTATGCAATACGCCTTTTAGAACATTGATGTCCTTTATTTGACGAGAGGAAGAGAAGGGAAAGAACTGGTTGGAGTTTTATAAATAAGTTTTAAGAAGACTATACCAATGGAAGATGATGTGCTAACTTGGTAACTGGGCGCAGAATACCGAGAGGGTCAACTTGGAGATCTGGATGCATTGGATCAACTTTCCCTGCTGCAAGGAGAGAATGAGTAGCACTGCATTTTGACCAAAGAACATTTCAATTATCATTAAATACTCGATAACAAAGCAAAACCAACTTGTAGAAATATAGCATCAACCAAAAAAATGGAGGGAGCATCAATACAGACCGACATACCTTCCGGGTATTGAATTAAAATCACCACACACCAACATTGGAATATCAGCACTAGCAGCAATCTTTTCCAGCCCTTTCACAAGTGTATGAACCTGATGAGTAAAGACCAAAAAAAGGTATCAGTTCTGGACCAAGACCATGAAAAGGCCGGGAGGAACCAAATGACATTGACATGTGACGACCTGCCAAAGCTTGACATCCTTCAACTCTTGCTGAACATGCATGTGAGTATTTGCCTGATTCAAAAAGGGAAGAAAGAACACTGCAATCAGATGAGGAGAGTAGAGGCTTCTCCGGTGGCAGTAACAAATGCTTCAATCATGACTTGTGTCCAAAGCTAACAAATCTGGGAAAAAGAAAAAGACATTGTTTGTTCCCTATACTTTTTTGAACTATTTTATGAGCCACTGCGCTTTTATTTTGTTATATTGAATATTTGTACTTTTTCAATCTATCACATTGAGCCCTTCTGCCATTGTAAAGCCTCTTAAGCATTGAGACCTGAACTTGTTTTCATGTAGTACACATCTATGCACAATTGAGCTAGGT